GGTTTAAATCCCGATAATCGATACACATCCTCATGGAACCATCCTTCTTCTTGACAAACAATACAGGTGCTCCCCAAGGCGAAACACTTGGTCTAATGAAACCAAGTTTCAACAACTCTTGAAGTTGAGTTTTTAACTCTTGCAATTCTTTTGGTGCCATCCGATATGGTGCCTTCGACACAGGCGCTGCTCCAGGAACAAGATCGATTGTGAACTCCACTTGCCTGTTGGGTGGTCTTCCTGGTAATTGGTCCGGGAACACATCCACAAACTCACGAACAATTGGAAAATCATGAGGTGTTTGTGCTCTCGAATTTTCGTCAACAATGCTCAACAAATATCCTTGACAATCCTTCCGTCTTATAATCTTCCTTGTCTTCGCCATAGAAATCAACCGAGGCAACGTTCCCGTCTTCGAGCCGTAGAAAGAAATTTGATCCTCCTCCAAAAGATAAAGAATTACCTCTCGGTCATGACAACGAATATCAGCACGGTAACGTGTTAGCCAATCCATACCGAGTATGAGGTCAAAATCCCTCATCTCGATGACGTACGCGCCGACCTCCAAGATTCGTCCTCCAATATTGAGTCTAAGGTTATCTGCCTTAGAACTCGTCACTATTTTCCGTCCTGAGGCTAAGCTTACCTCAAGAGGGTCAACATTGTTAATGAATTTAGCTCCTATGATTTCTATACATCGTTTTGACACGAACGAATGCGTCGCTCCCGTATCAAACAATGCAAAAATAGGAATATCGTTCAGAATAATCATCCCAGACATAGTACCTGGGTTCTGTTCTGCCTGAACTTGCTCCACAGCATACACTTGAGCTTGAGGTCCTGCCCTCTGCTGCTGAGGCAGCCCCTGATTCCTCTGTTGCTGCCTATCTGGACATTCCTTGAGATTATGACCAGGCTTCTGACAGAAAAAGCAAATATTCTGCCCTGCTAAACATTCTCCTGGATGACTACGCCCACATTTGCCACAAGCTGGAAATTGTGGTCGATTAGCTTGCTGCTTCTGCTTGTTATTATTTTGGGGACCTTTCCATTTCCTCTTGTTCTTATCTTTAGCCTGCTGGACAGGCGTGGGCTGCACTGGTGGTTGAGCTGGAATTTGAGCAATTGGATGCACTTGAATTTGGCCATCGCCCCTCCGGAAACTTGCGTCTACTTCTTGAGCCTTGGCCACTATATCAGCATAAGTCTGAATACAGTGTCCAGCTACATGATGACGGATTTCTCGTTGTAACCCATCTTGGAATCGTCTTGCCTTTTTAGCCTCTGTGTCCACAAGATATTTGACAAAAGATCCCAATCTAGTAAACTCTCTCTCATACTCATAAACTGTACGATTTCCTTGGGATAATGCCAAGAATTGACGTTCCATCTCAGCCCGATAGTGAGCTGGATAGTATTTCTCTTCCATCATCTCCTTGAATTGCATCCAAGTGAGATTTTCTTTCTCCCCAGGACGCATGCCCCAGTAGGAGTTCTACCATAGCCGAGCATCTCCGGTCATTTGCAGTTGAGCACAAATAATACGCTTCTTTTCTGTTCATTCAGTGATCTCAAAAATGGTTTCGAGACCCTGAATCCACTCCTCCACTAGATGAGGATCTCCTTGTCCTGAGAATTTCTCAGGGTTGTACCCACGAAATTGAGTAACGACTTCTGATGTCGTCATTTCTCTTCGAGCTTGGGGTGCCATCTAAAATTTATCGTAAAAGATAAACTTTTAATACACTCAGAAAATGTATTCGTAATTCTATAGATATTGAGCATATAATCTGATTCATAAAATTCGGATATCTTGTCGAGCATAGACTTAGAAATTTGCATATATTTAAACTTTATAATAAAGAAAACTTTAACAACAATTACCTGATAATTGGGGAGGTGTGAGTGTGGTGTGGTCGGCTTTTCTTGAAACTTTCCTTTCAAAACTTAATCTTTTAGTATACAGAGCATTTGAACTTTAGCTCTGATACCAACTGTAACACCCCGCTTATCAGAGTAATTTTTTCACAACTTATTTCGAAAATACTTATAAATTTTTCAAAACCTTCTTAACTCGGGATGCTACTAACTTATCTACTTTAAAAATCTGTTTACTTAAACTTTATCTATCAACAAAGTTAGCCATAAATAAAACAGATTTTAAACATTGAACAAATATAAAAAAAAACTTAACAGTTCATACAATCAACTTGATAAATCAACCTTTAAAATCACACTTAAAATCACACTTGTTCAAATCTTAAAGAAACGTAGCAGAAATCTTACAAGCGTGGTTTACAAATCGAAACCATATTGAAAATTTCAATAGAAACTTATTCACATCCACGACCACCACAGCTCCTCACACCTGCGCACCGTCTTTAATTCCTGAAAAAAATTGATAATAGTGGGGTGTGAGTACTAATCAACAGTACTCCGTAAAAACCCATACTAAAGTAAACAGCAATAATAATATCAATATCATGATCTTTGGTATGTATTTAAGCTTAATCTTTCGGTATCTAACCGATTCTTTAACTTGAACTTTGCAACTACCGGTAACTTGGGTCGGTTCTCACGTGATCACATTCTGGGGGTCGCCTCCCACAGAACCCAGTCTTGACTGAGCGAGCTTAATACTTTTACTTAACTTTATACATACCTCAAACATGATAATAGCTATTATACTCAATGTAATACCCAGTCTGGGTCCCCACATTTCTTCTCGAAAATTGTTTGAAAATCTTAAGTGTTGTTCTAGTAGCTGACTCCTCAAGCTACATAAAAATATAAGCAAATAAATACTAATTACTATGCTCTTAATATTGTCAATAAGTGCTTGACTTGGCTAACTTCTCTGGATTTAAAATAATCAGTTCTAAGTGGCTAACTCTTCCCAGAAAAATACTAAATAAACTTATAGAGCTTCAACTCGACATACATGTGGTCTTGATGTTATATATGACTGATTTCTCATCACAAAATTCTAAAATTTGACATGCATGCTTTCAACATATATAAACATGTCATAAAAATTTCATAATTTTATCATGCATATATCTCGACTTATGCCCTTTCAAAGTCACTGCTGGAACATGCACATAAAATTCAGCTTGCACGATAAACTTTAAAAATTTATAACTCGAGCTATACTTAACCAAAAGACATGATTCTTGCTCCTATGTACTCATTATTTACACAAGAAATAGCCATAATAATTTTAATATACTAGGTTATACATAGCATGCTTAATTCGAAATCAAACAACACATAACAATCATGCATACGATCTAACATAACTTCTTACTTCATGGCATGATTATAAATACTTATAAGCTAGAACTTTAGCATATTTTAACACATATGAAGGCACTTTAAATTACCTATAAAGCATTCTAAAAGAAGGACTTATTACCTTTTTTTTCTTGCTTGAAACTGAAATTTGAACTTGAAAATTAATTCTTCACCTCTCCAAAATTCCCACAACTTATTTATCTCTAATGAGTTATATAACTTTTGAAACTTTTCTTTGATGAAAATAATCTGATTTAAGGCCTCTATTTATAGCCACAAAAGAGGGGACAAGATGATTGAGTGAAGAAATAAACAAAATAAACAAACAAAACTTGTAAAAATAAACAAAGATATTAAATGGTAATCTTAACTTATAAACTTAAACAATCTATAGTCAATGCTTAAAAAGGCCCCATAATGTGATCCCAACCTGATTGACATAAAAAAAATCGTGAAATATGGAAAAATCTAGAATTTACGGAACCGAATTCGGACTTAAAACGTACAGTTACCGTAAAATAAAAAATTCTAATAATTTCAGATTTCCTTCTTTTGCTTTTGGTATTTTTTTTCTTTTAATGCTAAAAAAACTTTTCTTATCTTGTAGTCTACTAAAAATATAGAGAGGAAATAATTTAATTTATTTTCTGGAAGTGAAATCGAACTTAAATTTCTGAGTACAATCGAAAACCGGAAAAACTCAAAAATTTTAAAAACTTCATATTTCTCTCTTAATAATTTAAATAGACTAAACTGTCTAAATAAATTAATATACTCAAATGATTAAATTAAACACTCATGTCAAATTAATCATAAACTTATTAAACAACTTGAAATAATTAATCCCTACTAATAAAATCTATTTCTAAAAATAAACGGATCAGAATTAATTAATGAAATGGCTCGATTACTAAATAAAATTTAACCGAGAATACTTTCAACTTAAATTCAAACTTATAACTTATAACTTAATAACAGGACTCGCTACTAGAAACGAGCATTATTAATAAAAGTAAATATTTCAAATCTCAGAACTAAAATAATTACTTTTATTAATAACTGAGTGGGATATTACAGCGCCGCCCAACCTTGGCTCCCGGCTCCGGTTTCTTCCTTGCTTTGTCGAGTCTCTTTGGATCTTTTTGAAGACCCGGTCTCCAACGGTCGATCACAATTCGAAAAATATAACTTACAAAATTACATAAATCGATTCCTAGATCCAACGAGTGGATGTACATGCCTTCTACTAATTAATTAAACTATCCGATCAACCCCCAGGCAATTAATACAAGCATTCATCCATAATTCCTCGACAATCCCGAGGCTTTAAAAACAAATTTAAAACCATACAACCAACCATCAATTAAGCACAAGCACATAAAAGGGTGGCCATAATAGTGGATTAACTATTTCCTGCAAAACCAAGTTATGCATATAATCCAATATATATGGCTGCGCTTGAGCACACATAGACAATATAAGCAGTTTAATCCGGATCTTGTACATAACGGATTAATCTCAAGCTCTGATACCAATTGTTGGAACCCATGAGGATCTCGATATGCACAAATCACGGACAAACATTCAACATAAACCTATGCGCAGCGGATCTAAAGGTTTGATGAAGAAAACTTACTACTTAAGATTTATGTAGATCTGGCTGGCCCGAACAGTTGACCGCAAATCAAATCTTCTCGGAATCGAACAAACTTGACCAATCCAGAAAGCTGACGTCACGGCGAAGTCAACGGCATTGACCGATCTGAAATCGGCCTTCTCACGCGCGACGACAAGTTCCAGCAGCAGGTTCCTCCCGGCGGCGTGTGGCGGCGCGTGCGGCGTCGGCTGGCGGCGGTCTCGACGGCGATCTCTTCGTCTCGTCGTCCTGGTCGTCGTGGTATGGTCACTTACTGGTTTTGGTCTCCGGTTTGGATGTATGATTGGAATTTCTATATACCTTAAGATCTTCTACTGTATTCTCAAACAGCTCTCTAGATCTTGTATCAGTAGAACACAAAAAATAGAAGAACTCCTTGGAAAGAGAGAGAGAGAGAGAGGCGGACGAAATATAGAGCTGATAAGATTGTCTCTTCTCTTCCAAGAGCCTAATGCTGTATATATAGAGCTACAGTAGGGACCCTAAGGAGAATAGGATAAGGGCTTCTAATATTTTAATACTGTGGAGCAACCCCACAATTAATATATTAATAATATTAAAGTCCACCACAATAATATTATTGCACTCCCCTCACCTATCCCAAATTACATTTGAGACTCCTTATTATAATTATCCGATTTACCTCCTCATGTTTAAGATATAATGTCCATTAATTAATTCGAACTAATAATCAAGAATTAATTAATATATTATATTACCGAAGCTAGCGCTCGCTCATAGCATTCATATTATGCCGGAATAAATCCACCTGCAGGGTTTAGCATAATATTCCTTCATGAACTCACTTCGGGGACCTCATCATACTAACGCACATGGTGACCGTAAATATCCTAAAGCACATCGAACACATAATGTTATTACCCAATTCATTAAGTATGTCGACCCGGCTTGGATCTCACCCAAAGAATCAAAGCAACAACAATTATGTGCACATGCCTATTTAATATCTTACGGGTTAAGAGCACGCAATAATTAACTGAGGCCTAGTTCGTTTACAACGATTAGTATAAAACGAACATCCCTCTCTGGGATCCTGTTCAATACATAAATGTACTAGTGCAACTAATCGGTCAAGACAAACCGTACGGTTGACACTACAACCGTTCCGATGGGTTGTTCAATTCCATCTTGGTTGTGAACCAATGATTCTTGTTTCGCAAGTAACTGATATAGTGATCTTCGGTACACCCGATGACGACCCACTTATCTACATGCAAAACAACAGAACGTGGAACTTATTTAACCAAACATAATTCTCATTCATCAAGAAATAACTAGTGTAATATCCACTAAAGCAAAGCTTAAGTATATAACACCAACAGCAGATTCATTTAAGGCTTTTCCAAGATTGCTCTTCCTTTATGCCAGCTGACGAGGAAATCTGTGGAGTTCAAGTGGACTGATCGTTGTGAAGCGAGCTTTCAGGAGCTCAAGAGGAGATTGACTTCAGCACCGGTGTTGACTATTCCCGATCCTTCCCGGAGTTTCACCATATTTAGTGATGCTTCGAGACAGGGTTTGGGATGTGTCCTTATGCAGGATGGCCAGGTCGTCGCTTATGCTTCACGCCAGCTCAAACCCCATGAACAGAACTATTCGACGCACGACTTGGAGTTAGTTGCAGTGGTTCATGCCCTTAAGATTTGGCGACATTATTTGTACGGCGGTCGATGCGAGATTTTCACCGATCATAAGAGCTTATAGTCTATTTTCACTCAGAAGGAGCTCAACATGAGGCAGCGCTGCTGGTTAGAGTTGGTCAAGGATTATGATTGCACAATTCAGTATCATCCGGGAAAGGCGAATGTTGTTGCTGATGCCCTAAGCCGTAAGGTGAAGGGTGACCTGACATATGTTGTTACTCAGCAAATCCAGTTGATTCAGGAGTTTGCCCGGATGCAAATTAAGGTGGTCGACGCACTTCCTACAGTTTTCACGGGGAGTGTTAGTTGCATGCAGGTTCAGCCGACGCTGAGGGAGAGAATCCGGCGAGAGCAGGCTTCAGATGAGTTTATTCAGGCGATTGATGCCAAAGTGCGAGCCGGAGGCGTCGAGGGTTATCACCGAGGCACAAATGGAGCCTTGGAGTTTTGCGGCAGGATTGTGGTGCTGAAAGTCGAGACTTTGCGAAAGGAGATCTTGACAGAGGCTCATACAGCACCATATCAAGCCCATCCAGGAAGTACCAAGATGTACCATGATCTGAAAAGGTCGTTCTGTTGGAAAGGTTTAAAGAAAGACATAGTCGATTATGTCAGAAAGTGTTTAACCTGTCAGCAAGTCAAAGCCGAGCACCAGAGTCCTATAGGCCTTCTATGACCACTGCCGATTCCGCGGTGGAAGTGGGAGGAGGTTTCGATGGATTTTGTTACGGGTTTACCGTGGTCGTCTGAACATCACGACGCTATTTGGGCTGTGGTCGACAGATTGACTAAGGTGGCTCATTTCTTGCCAGTATCGATGAGTACGTCTTTGGACAGGTTAGCTGAGATTTATACCCATGGGATTATCCAACTCCACGGCCTGCCTGTTACTATCGTGTCAGACCGAGATCCCAGATTCACTAGCAGATTCTGGCAGAGTTTGCACAAGGCGATGGGCACGAGATTAGCATTCAGTTCAGCTTACCGCCCAGAGACTGACGGTCAGACAGAGAGGACCATTCATGTAACACCCCACCTTTCCATAAAAATCAGAGCGCGCTTTTCGCAATTACATTCAAAATAAAACATTTTACATTGCGAAGTACTGATTCGGAGTGCTACTAAAATACATAGCTGACTGAAAAATCTAGACCTTTGGTTTGAAAAACCAACTACTAGTTCGCCGACTGATTCATTTGACTTAGAATTATGAACAGTAAAACATCAGCAGAAACTGTAGTGGTGAATTTGGATAGCAGTACCGTGATCGTGAAAACAAGTTTGCTGAAAAATATATCGGCACTGCTTTGCCAAATTCAAACTGTACAAAACCTAATTTAAGCTTTATAAGCATAAAGCTTAGGCAATTTAAACTTTATAAGCATAGTCCCAAACAGCTCCGTCATCTCAATCCTCTGTCCCGACGTCATGACCTGAAAAACATGATAATAGTGGGAGCGTGAGTACTAAAAACACTGTACTCCGCAGAAACTCATACTAAAGTAAACATTAATAATAATATCAATATCATGACTGCATGTATATATAAGTAAACTGTAATCTCCCGACACTAGGTCGGTAACTGAACTGAACCTCCTCGGACACTATGTCCGTCCATGTGCACATTCCGATGGCCTATTAAGGCTACTGCGCCTCCACCGAAACTCGAGATGACCTATTAAGGCTACTGTGCCTCCACCCAGAGTGGAATAACTCATATACATACCTTAAGCATGGTAGAGTAATTATAACCAATGTAATACCCAGTCTGAGTCCCCACCTAAACTGTTGGTTTGAAAATGTAAGTGCTGATATCTGGATCCTGAACAAACTGAAAATAATATAAACAATTACTAAATACTATACTCAGACTGATAAAAATAACTGATTAATGTGTTAAGATGCTCTACTGGACTTTAACATGATATCTGGGCTTAACCGGTACAACCGGAACTGAATAAACTCGGAACTGAACTGACATGAATTTATTGAACTAGACTGGACTTGAAATTTAACTGAAAATGAGACTGAAATACTGTACTGGACTCGAACCGAATCAATAAATACTGAACAACTCAAAATCCAGTCTAAACCGGCCGGTTCATTTTCTGGCCGGACCGCCGGCTGACCACCGTCTTGGTCACTCGCGCACGCTGGGCGCGGACTGGGCACTGCCAGCGTCGCTGGCGCTGGCTGGCGCTGCTGAGTTGG